AGCTGCTGGATATAAGGTTAATATATACATATATATGTATGTCAGTTTGCTTTCCTATGTTATCAGCAATGAACATGTGGAATTTGAAATTAAAAACATAATACTATTTAAGTTAGCGCTCCCCAAAATAAAATACTTAGATATAAATCTAACAAAATATGTACAAGATCTGTCTGAGGAAGACTACAAAATTCTGATAAAAGAAATCAAAGAACTAAATAAATGAAGAGATATTCCATGTTCTTGGATAGGAAAACTCAATATTGTCAAAGGTGTCAGCTTTTCCCAACTTGATCTATAGATTCAATGCAATCCCAATCAAAATCCCAGCGAGTTATACTTGTGGATACTGACAAACTGATTCTAAAGTTTATATGGAGAAGCAAAATGAGACAGGGAAACTGAAGGGACCCCATGAAAGACTGCTTTTTTGCGGCCTCATTCTTGCTAGGACCTACAGCCCTGCTCTATACATGCCTTATGTATAGATAATGTATGTCCTCCTTGCAAAGGTCAAGGAGTTAATGATTTCTTTGGAGTCTTCCAGCACAAGAGATAACATCTACAGAGTGACTGGGCGAGTTCATCATGTACCTCTTCCAAGACCACAGACTCACCAGACCCCTGGCTCCAGTGCATAAGTGGCTTATGGAGGACACCCTTGTTTTAACCAGTTCCTGGATGCCCGAGAAGACACATCACTGGACCACAATCCTCAATAAAAACCCCAGATCCAGAGAAAAGATGAGACTCACTCTTTCCTTTCTGAGTCTCCTGGACACTCTGTCCATATCTACATTCTCTGTATCTCTTTAATAAACTCTGCTCTCACTTCCTCTCAGTTTGCATTTGATTTCTATCCTGGGTGAAGCCAAGAATCCTCTTGGCTGGTCCTGCAGGACCCCCAGTGGGTTTCGGACCCAGCCAGCCTGCATCAAAAAGACCCAGAATAGTCAACACAATATTGAAGGAGAAGAACAAAGTTGGAGGACTGATACTGACTTCAAGACTTAATATTAATCTATAGTAATCAAGACAGTGTGATATTAACCAAAGCATGGACAAACAGATCAAGAGAACAGAACAGAGAGCCCAGAAACAGACCCACATAAAAGTAGTCAATTGATCTTTGACAAAGGAGCAAAGGGAGTACAACGGAGAAAAGAACAGTCTTTTCAACAAATGGTGCTGGGACAACTGGACATCCACATGTGAAAAAAAAATGGATATAAACATGGGCCTTACAACCCTTCACAAAAATTAACTGAAAATGTATCACAGACCTAAGGGTAAAATGTAACACTGTAAAACACTCGTAGAAGATAAAATAGGAGGAAATCTGGATGACCTTGGGTTTGGCAATGACTTTATAGATACACCACCAAAGCCATGATCCATGAAAGAAAGAATTGATAACCTAGATTAAATTAAAATTAAAGAGTTCTCCTCTGTGAAAGACTCCTTGAAGAAAATGAAAACACAAGTCACAGACTGTATTCGTAAAAGACATATCTGATAAGGAACTGTTACCCAAAATATACAAAAAGCTCGTAAAATTCAACAAGAAAAGACCTGAGAAGAAGATAGACAGCTGGGAAATAAGCATATAAAAAGATGCTTCACATGCTGTCATCAGGGAAAAGCAAATTTTTTTTCTTAAAGATTTTATTTATTTATTTATTTGAGAGTGAGAGACAGAGACAGAGAAAACACAGGTGGGGGGAGGGGCAGAGGGAGAGAGAAAAGCAGACTCCCCGCTGAGCTGGGGTCCTGGGATCATGACCTGACCCAAAGGCAGATGCTTAACAGACTGAGCCACCCAGGTGCCCTGTAAATGCAAATTAAAACGAGAGAGCACTACACACCTATCAGAATGGCCGGCAGGCAGAATGCTGATAACACCAAATGCTGACAAGGATGTGGAGCCACAGAAGGAAGTCTCATTCGGGCGCCTGGGTGGCTCAGTTGGTTAAGCGACTGCCTTCAGCTCAGGTCATGATCCTGGAGTCCCGGGATCGAGTCCCGCAT